TAGTGTCGGGATTATGTGTTCATATATTTTATAATATATGAACAAAGGGTGAACACGATATGAACAAGGGTTGAACAACCACATAAAACCAGAAACATATATGAACAAGGGGTGAGCCTTAAACGGTGTGAATGCAATGCATGTATAAAACTCCAATTGACAAAGGATCGCTCTTGAATACGTTTATAATTAATAAACTATTGTTCAAAAGCTGTTCATATTATGTTCATACCTGTTTTTTTGTTTATTTTCTTTCATATAGCAGTTATTTTTATTATGTTCATATTGTGTTCATAAATGCTATGCAGTCTAAGTTCATATATTTGTCAAAAAAAATTTCGTATTTGATACAATGGTTCATATATATATATATATATATATATAGTTGTGTTCATATGTTTCTTACGTTAACAAAAATAAATTAATAAAAATCATAATTTTTTTTGATTTTGTAACTCCCAATTAATGATATGAGAGTTACATTTTTTTTAATACCTAAATACCCTTTTCAACTTTGTTCACTTATGTTTATGAAATTTTAAATTTTAAAAACATAAGTATATATAATAATTAATCACAACCGTTTATTGAAAGATTGAATGACCAAGATCGGTTAACAAAGTTAACACAAAAACTTTGGTTAACATTTGATCTTGACCCTATATATGTATGTGTGTGTGTGTGGGCAGGTAAAAATAGGAAGGTGCTCGATATATTTTTGTTATGCTACTAATACTTGTACTTGCTATTCTGCCTTATCTGGTTGATGAAGAGTTACGTGCACGTAAAAAAAAAAAGAATCACACCATGTTTTTCAAAGCAGTTTTGATCTGAATTCTTTTTATAGTCTCTAATTTATGAAGATGATCCCAACAAATATTTTCTTATATAATTCCCCGAAAAAATTAGGTTTTTTATAATCAAAGCAGACACTTTCACCAAAACAGATCATAATTAATTGTCATTTTACTGATTCAGATAACCACAGTTACAGAAAAAAAACAATGAATATCATCAACTGCTCAAATTAGATCATGGCTTCACATTTTTATTACAGAATTAAAATGCAGCAAAAAATATACAGATATATGCTTCATTAATAGTACATTAATTGTTGCATATTATTGGTACAAGTTATTGCTATAATAATCAATACATCGATAATATTAGATACGAATCTTATGCACGTCATGTCATATTTTCAGACAAATTCAAATCATTACGTACCTGTGAACTATTACTGTATAAAAGTATACAATATCCACAAACCCAATATTCAAATCTTATAGTTTAAAATGGTAAAATAAATTTATATTTAATTAGAAAAATTAATATATTGCCATTTTTGGAGGTTGATAATTACATTAATAATAATCTAAAATGTGTGAAAATTGGAAATTTAACTAATTAATTGTTGTTTTATGTAGATATAATACCACTAAAAATAAATTGCACGTTTTATTTTTGTCTAGGACAAAAAAAAAAAGATATACCTTTGCACGTTATTGTAATTTTTATATGTTTTTTTAATTATTATAATAATTAAATATTTTAAACGTGAGAAACTATTTTTTTGGTTGTTAAATGCAACCCTTTATATAGGTATATATAGAGAGAGAGAGAGAGAGAGATGAACGATCAAATGAAAACCATTCTTATTTGTAAAAACCGTAAAAACCACACTCATACGTCGATTTCATTGTTTAATCTTATGAAATTTTTTCATGAAATTGTTTAATCTTGTGAAATTGTTTCATATAATACTTTTTTTGATGAATTTGTTTCATATATGGTTATGAAATTGTTTCATATAATACTTTTTTTGATGAATTTGTTTCATATATGGTTGTGAAATTGTTTCATATAATATTTAATGAAATTGTTTCGTGTATTTCTCTAAAATTAAAATAATAAAGATGATAATATTCATGATTAACACCCTTCACAATAAAAATGGTTAATCAACCTCTCATAATTACAAAAAAATGAACAAAATGAAAAATTATGATTGGTTGAATGAGGTTTTCACTGTTTTTACAAATTGAGTGGTTTTTATTTGAACGCTCCCCCATTTTTCCATTATTTTGTATTGATTTTGAATGTCTCACACACACATAGAGAGAGAGAGAGAGAGGTGGAGGTTCAAACCAGAACACCTCCATTTTACGAGAATATAAAAACACCTTTTATCACATGTGATAATACGCGTGAGGGGACACGGTAGTATGCGGAAGACGTGTTCTACGACTTAGGCAGCGCCAAAGGTTGTCCGTGTCTATGATTTAGCATCACATGTGATGGAATTGGTGGATTATAGTATCATATCAACAACGATCTTATCAATGTGATAATACATGTGAGGGGGATTAGTGGTATAAAGGCGACTTGGCCCGCAACCAAGATCGTGCCGAAAATCATCCGCGTCTCTGATTTAGTATCGCATGTGTATCTTATGTGATGAAATTTTAGTATCACATGTGATTATCTATTGTAAAAAGATGTTCTTGTTTGAACCACTCCCTATATATAAATAATATGTGGATTTTAACATGTAGATTTTAATATCATAAACTATGAATCAAATTATGTTAAAAGCATTCATCATTTCATATTCAACATCTTCCTTTTATTTTTTACTTTTTTATTTTTATAATAAAAAATTCAAAAAAGATTCTCAAGTAGTGTGGCCTTTCTAGCCTAAGGGTCTATTATAACTTCATAACCAATTCACCTTGAGGGCCTAAATTTATGGGGGCAAAAATGTATTTTTGCACGGGAAATTAATAAAAATAGTCGTTTCAGTCAGATAAAGTTTAGCTTAGCCATTGTTTTTAGAATTTTCAAAAAGTCACTATCTCTGCAAGTAACAACTTCTCAATTTATGGGGGGTCAAATCTGTAAATTATTATGGGTCGTAGCATCTCCGCTACTTGCGGAAGTATTTGGACTAATTTACAGTTTTCGTTTCTGTATTTGTAGACCATGTTCAATTTCTTTTACATTTTGATCCCTCCGCAAGTTGAGAGGTTGCTATTTGCGGAGGCAGTGGTTTTTTAGGAGAAAAATGACTAATAGGTAGATGTAGTCAAAGACCTTCCAGTCTAGTGGTAAAGGCTTGGGCATGACATAGTCATGAACCCGAGTTCGAGCCCTGGGAGGGGAGTGTTGACGACATTTAAGTGGGGCCATGTTTAGCCTCCAAATTTGCCGGGGATTAGTCGGGCTTTGGCCCGGACACCCTTACAAAAAAAAAAGGTAGATGTACAAGGCTGAAACAGCTATTTTTGTTAATTTCTCTTAAATTGCTAAATGAACAATTGCCTGCTAATTTATTTCACATATACATTAATATCAAAAACCTGACTTTTTATGATACCTGTAAACAAATTGTCTTTTTTTAACCCTTGTATATGACACTTTTGAAAAGTGCCCTACACACATATATGTTTATAGGACATTTATTGCTGAATGTTTTGGTGCAGAATGATTAAGTGATCAGAATGATTAAGAGGCTCTCATGATATGGTGTAAAATGAAATATAATTGTTTGGTAATTGTATACAATGAAATTATGGCTCTTAATGGTTAAGGAAGATTTAGGATACAAAATCATTCAGAGGGTTTTAGAACCATTAAGAGGCAACATTTTTTTTTGCCAAACAAGATTCACCTCTTAACGATTCAAATATTGCCTCTTAATGGAACTATTAAGAAGTAAACAAATAACCCCTTAAGACTTACTAAGACGTCCAAAAACCTAATATAAACATATTACAACACTTTTTATATATGATACATAATATTTGTTTAGTCCTATAAACTCAATTCATATAAAGTAGTCTTTAATGATATTCAGACATTTTTAGTACCATATAAACTCGATTTTGTTATAGTGTTCCAATTTAAAGCATCTGTAACAGATTATTTAAAACTTTGTTTTGCTCCAACATCTTCAGAAAACTCCAAATTTAAAGAATTCTCTAAAATTTGATCTGAGGAAATGATAAAATTGAATAAATGTTGTCCTGTATTAACTGTTTTACAAATTATAGAATATTTAACAGTATAAGTAATTTTTTTGAATGAAAAAATCAGTAAACTTTCTCATTTGAATAATTAAGTCTCTGAATTTTTTTTTTTGTAATAAATAAACCATCGAACAGAAAACCAGTTGTAACCTACTAGAAAGGTTTTAAAGTGAAATTAAAAGAAACCCAAATTCATTTTACCATTTCCAAACTTTACGTCCTTCAAACACCTCGTAAACAACGGTATCACTCCCCGTTGCCACTCTCGGTCCTCCCATCATTATCCATTCTTCATATCGACCATCAAATTGTTGGGCCCTACCATCGATCTCTCTATTTGATCTATTTTAAGGGGTTACAAGTAGTTTTACTTTAGGACATTTTTCAGTCAGTTACAAGTAAGTAACCAATTTTAAAAGTTCAATGGTTTATTTTATTGGAAAAAAATGTTTAAAGACATAATTATTCAAAATAAGAAAGTTTAATGATTTTTCCATCCAAAAAATAGTTTATGATTTAATCATTTGTTGGGTTTTCTAAACTTTCGCCTTAACCAAAATAAAAGACAATTCAGTACATCTTAGGGGGTGTTTGAGATTGCTTATTTGAAACAACTTATTCTTTTTTACAAAAACACTTATCAACTTATTATTAAGTCAGAAGGGTTTAACTTATTCAAAAACTTCTTATTACCGATTTGGCACCGGTATAAGTTGTTTATTCAAACACTCAAAAGTGCTTATTATCAGTACCACACCAGAATAAGTCAATAAGTTGTTTTTATAAGCAATTCCAAACACCCCTTTAATCGACAATATACATGGTTGGCATGAGATGTACACAAATATATCATCTACCGTAAATGATATATATTAGTTGTTTCTATTAAAACCATCGACTTAATTTCATTAACAATATAAGCATTTAAATTTAATATATAATACCCAAATTAAGTAACATAATTTAGAAAAATATATCGATTTATAATAACCGTTAGATTGATTAAAGATTAATCATCCAACGGCAAAAACAACCCACCTTTTAGTCTTCATAAATACACATTAATTCCTTCTACGAACCCTAACCTTGAACCCACCATTCATGTGAGCCGTCAACAACGGTACAAAAACCGGTTCATCCAAACAAACCGGAACCAACTCGAACCGTCTCAGAATCGAAGCCACCACATACTTCATCTGCACAAAAGCCATCTCTTTCCCTAAACAAACCCTTGGACCGCTTTGAAAAACAGGAAATTTATAAGGGCTTTCCATTTTCAGAACCCCCGGTTCACTAAACCACCGGTCCGGTCTAAACTCCAAACAATCCTTACCCCACAAAGCTTCCATCCTTCCCATGCCGTATGGAAAATACATCACTCTGTTTCCCTTGTACACCGGCGTTCCGTCCGGCAACACGTCATCTTTTCCGGCGTGTTTTGAGTCCCACACCACCGGCGGGTATAGCCGCATTGATTCACATAAACATGCTTTCAAATAATCTGTTTTCTTTAAATCTTCAAAGTTTAAGTTGTTCGAGTAATTATGATCGGTGGTTATGGCGGTGAGCTCGTCTAGAACTTCTTTCTCGACGGTGGGGTGCCATGTCAGCAGCCAGAGAAGCCACGTCATCGCCGCCGAAGTGGTGTCTCTTCCCGCCATTAAAAAGCTTATCACCATATCCCTCACCAGCTCGTCGCCGTGGCCGGCGGAGATAAACCGGGATAATAAATCTCTTTGGCTGTCATTTCCGTCCATCTGCCGTCGTCTATCTCCGATTATCTTATTCACTTCACGATGTACAACTCCGACGGCCGCCTTCAACCGCCGTTCACTTCCGACGTTCAACAACCTCTTCATTTTCCAGACCCAATTCGCCGGTGAAATGCCACGCATCGCGCTGGAACTCGCGGCGACATCAAACGCGATTGCAAGCGGCGGCACCGGTCGTGAGTCATCCAAACAACACGGGTCCCATCCCAGAGAGATTTTACAAATGGTATCGAAAGCCAACCGTCGGAGGACGTCCTGCATGTCCAACACGTGGTCGTTTTCAATGGAGTTTTCAAGCAGTGGAATCAGCCGGTTCGTTATAACTTCTTCAACTACACTATCCATAAACTCTCGCAACGATTTGGTGCTAAACTCATGGCTAGCTAACTTCCTCTGAGTGCTCCATAGCTCGCCGTCGACGTTGAATATTCCCATTCCGAGGAAGTCTCCGAGGAGGTCCGTGAAAGGTTTGCCTTTTGGGTAGTTTTCGAAGTTAGTTTTGAGGATATGTTCGACGTTAGCAGGGTTCGCGGTGACGATCATTTGGTTTTTCCGGCCAAGTCGATTCAAGACGATGGTCTGCGATGGTGAGACGGAGAGGAGGTGGGTGAACCAGTGGATGAGACGGTGGCTGTTCTGGTGAAAAGAAATAAGAGAGCCGATGAATGGGTATGACTTATGTCCATAATCGGAGGTGGTGGCGGTGGCGGAGGTGGTGGTTGACGAAGAAGAAACCGCCATTATCAAGAATCTAAGAAAAGAGACCAAGTAAAGAATGATGAAGAGTAGAGAGAGAAAGTGGAGGAGAGAGAGAATTTGCATGGTGGTGGTGGTGGTGGTGGTGGTTGGTCGTCGTGGTGGTGGATGAAGATGGAGGAGGAAGGTGGTGGTTATATATAATAAGGGTTAATCAACAACACGTGAGAGACTCGTAGTTCACTCATTAAAAAACGCACGTTTTTCATGCATGCCGCAATCTTCATAGTTCAAAATTTTTGTCATTAGAATCACGTGCTAAATATATTGAACTTGGTTCTTATTTCTGTTGTTCAATTGACACGTCGAGCACGAATTGTCACTTTATGTTTATTCATTTAATTATATTAATTTATCCATAATTTAAAATTTCGTAAAACATGTGGAATTGTGCAGTATTTATTACGCTGGTTGTCACAGACTTCCCCTACTTAAATTCCTGACATTTCCGTTAAGTTTTCGAGCATCCTCCTTGTATTTGACGATGTGGGATTCATCCAAGATGTCACAAACACTTTTCTCGAGGTTTCCCACACCGTCACGGTAATAAAATGAGTGAAAACGTTACATGATTTTCTACAAACAAAATGTTGGTCAGTCGTGAAAACGTCACATGGTTTTCTATTGGGAATGATGAACTCTCGTCATTCTTAAAAATCCAATAATCCCCTTATACACTTCTCCTTGATACAATACAACTCAATGCAAAACCTAAGGAGCATCAAACGTCATCAATCACCTTTCGAGCATCATTTTTTACCTAAGTAAGTACCTATAATATCTGATTTTTAGTATTTTTCCACAATCTTTAAATTATTTTAATTTTTGTAACCATAATTAATATGTTCAAGATTTGTGAATATATATACATATACATATATATATATACACACACACTAAAAAAGTACTCGTGCAATGCAGCTAAATATATCTCGATTTCAATGTTTTGTTTTATTATTTGTCTCCATCGATGTTATAATACGGTTTTATATGGTTTTGAAAAAACGATAACATTTTTATTTTTTGAATAAAATATAAATTTTAAAATATCATAAAATTTTAAAGAAAAAAAATATCGATATTAATATCAAATTAACTATTCAAAAAATTTCGTTCTTTTGTATAATTTTCTTAATTCAATATTTTTTTTATTACAATTTAATTTAAGATTAACAACGAACTAATTTATTTTTAGTTTAATAATATAATTTTTTATAAAAATAATAATTAAAATTTTGTTAGAATTCGATAACTATTCTTATCATATTCCAGACCTTTTATATTTAAAACGAAATATTTATCTCATATTTGATTATGTTTATCTGCAGTTAGTTATACGAATTCAAACATAAAACTTTAATAAGTTATACTTATATACAATTTATTTATAATCTTGAACTTTAAGTAACATACATTAATAAACAATATATATATATATATATATATATAAATTAGAAGTGAAGTTATAATTTGTAAGTGGTAGTCATCCATGATTAAAATACCTTAAAAAGGTGAAATAAAAAAGTGGATGCCGACGTGAAATCGGCGCAGAAATGGAAAAATTGGAGTCTTTCACCGTCCATTAGACTCGCAACCTTGTAAAAAGTCTTGTCTTTGTCAAAATACCATATCAAAATTGACATTAACTTTGGACACATCCAAATCTTGCTTTTTTATTTTTTATTTTTTATTTTTTTTAATAAATAAGTTTTATCGGTCTAATAAGTCACCGGGTGTTTAAATTTTTAAAAAGGCGAAAGCAATAAAGATTAGCTTTTTTGTTGTAAAGAAAGAAATGAACGATCAAGAGTCGGGACTGTCGGAGTTCCGCATCAGTAGCTTATTGATTCAGACACGTGTGGGTTTTCTTTTGTTTCTCATAACCAAAGTGTTGTTTGTTTAATAAGTTACGGGGTTTCTGAATCGATAGCTGATTGATTTAGATATGTGTGTGGATTTTTGTTTTTAATTTCCTGTAATTAAGTTTTATCTGTCTGATAAGTTACTGGGTTTCCAATTTCTTGAAAACGAAATCAGTAAAGATTAGTTTTTTTTTTTGCTTCCTTTTTCTTATTAAGAAAGAAACGAGCAATCAAAAGTTGAGATTGTTGGAATTCCCCCACCGATTAAACTTGAATCGTTATTCTCGATATACGTTGGAAGTTGGAACTTCCATTTTCTCTATAAGGGTTTTTGTTGGAACTGATATAATGAGGTTTTGAATATTCTCATATGGTATTAGAGGCAAAGTCTGTCATATTTTTTTTTTGGATTCAACGCTCTAGGCCTATCTGTGCATGTCTAGTCGGCGTTGAAGGTGAGGTGTTGGAGTCTTACATCGGCTAGATTCACTGTTCTAAAAGGTTCACCGCGACAACCGCCATGGAGCATGGTGACTCAAGGCATGCGTCTCACACCACATTAAGTCTGTGGCACACCTTCGTCGACTCGTCGTCTCTTAAGGCTTGAGGTTTGGTCTCGCCACCCCGTCATGCCATTTAGAATCTTGACTAGATTTGGACTATCTTTCTTCAGTATGTGTTGACGATAGCAGATCGGGGGTCAGGGTGCCAGTGGATACCTATGCAACCACAATCTTTTGGCTAACCGAAATTCTTTTTCGCTCCTTAAGAATGCTACCAGTTTGTTTCATTATGTGTTACGTTATAACAGCATAAATAACCTTCTAAATCCACCTCTATACGTTGGATCATCCTTTCTTTCCTCAACGACTATTTTAAAGAGTAATCTAACGTAATATTATCATAGGGACCAATCTTGTATATGTCTTATTCTATTGGGGTTGAATGTGTGAATTTTTGTTTTCCAATAATTGCATTTTGTCTATCTAATAGGATATGTCATTCAAAGTCTTGAAAATGAAAGCAATATTAAAGATTATTATTTATTAAAAGTAAATAAAATATATTATGTGGGGATGGATTTCATATATGCTAAGGCTATATATATACTTGTTGGATGCATCTTGCTTATTTTGAAATTTATATGGATTTTCTTTAAATGGTTGGTGGACAAAATGATGAATATCTGTAATAAATGAATTTTAAAAATACTGAATCTATCACCGACAAGTTTAAGCACGTAAAATTGGAATAGATGCAACTTAAAAGGGTCAGATATTAAATAATGATATGATAAGTCTCGTGGGGATAACTGTTGACTTTGTAATCAATTTATTCGGTTTGGAAAAGTTGATTCTTGATCCAAAAAGAAGATAAGGAATTTGCTACGAAAATAAAAACCCTGATTTTGAAGGGTAATTGTAAAAGACTATCTGATTCTTCACAACTTTCATTTACCAGTTTCTATCACCACGGTTAAAAGAATAAAACTTTAATTTATTGTATATGAAAATTACTGGATGTGTGTAGAAGTTCGTGATGATGATTGAAATCAAAGATAAAGGTGAAGATGACGATGACGATGATGATGATGATTGAACATAGATAAAAACCCATGTTCTTTTATCAGCTTTCGGTTAAAAGTAGTTGAAGATCTGTGTTTTTTTAACTATTAGATCAAAAAGTCAACTTATTCAAAAACTCAGAAGTTATGATGTACTAGTAGGGTACTCGCGCAATACATCAAGATACATCTTTATTTTAATATTTTGTTTTATTTTTTGTGTCTGTTGATGTGATACGGTTTATGTGGTTTTGAGAAAGATAATGTTTACACTTTTGAATAAAAATAAAATTGAAGATATCATAAAACTTTTGAAAAAATATATCAATATTAATATCAATTTAACTATTTAAAAAATTATTTTTTTATTAATCTAATTTTTTATTATAATTTAATTTAGGTTTAATAGCGAAATAATTTATTTTTGACTTAACAATATAATTTTTATAAAGATAATGATTCCGTTAGAACTCAATAATTATCATAACTATATTTTATATCTTTTATATTTAAAATGAGATGTTTATACTATATTTGATTATGTTTATCTAAAATTGAGCTTTAATAAATTGTACTTACGCATAATTTACTTGTAATCTTAAATTTTAATTAATATATATTAATAAACAATACTTCATGCATAAATAATGGTTTTAAAAACTTCTATCAAATGTTTTATAATATAACTAAAATGGTACTCGTACAATGCAGCGAGATAAATCTCCATTTCAATGTTTAATTTTTATTCTGTCTCTACCGATATAATACGATATTATGTAATTTTGAGAAAACGATAATGTTTTTATTTTTAAATGAAATATAAATTTAAATATAACATAAAAAAAATCGATATTGTATTAAATTAACTATTTAATACTTTTCATTTTTTTGGTGTAACTTCTTTAATTCAATTTTTCATTATAATTTAATTTAGATCTAATAAGAAAGTAATTTATTTTTGGTTTAATAATATAATTTTTATTAAAGATAATAATTAAACATTCTGTTAGAAACTCAATAATTATCCTAATTATATTTTAGATTTTTTATATTTAAAATGAGCTGTTTATCCTGTATTTGATTATGTTTATCTAGAGTTAGTTACACGAATTCAAAAATAGAGCTTTAATAAGTTGTACTTATGCAAAATTTACTTGTAATATTGAATTTTAAGTAATATACATTAACATACAGTACTTTATGCATAAAAAATGGTTTTTAAGAGTTTTTGTCAAATGTTTTATAATATAATATAGATATCAAACAAGATATAAATCCATTTGATGTAGTTTTACGTTTCTTTCTAAAAGTGAGATTTTGAAGCCAAGGTGTCAAAAGATTAGAAATATGAGTTGAGTTGGAGATAATCATCAATAATTGGTGGCCACCATCACCATGTCATGATAGTTACAATTGGGCCAAAATGGACCATTCACCGTCCAAAACCACGGGACTGAGTCCGATCCGAGGTCCCATCCATACCGAATGGACCAAGTCGATCCACGACTTCTAAGATAATAAACATGAAACTTGAAAGGGAAAGATCGGTTGGAGATATTGCAACCATGGAAAGTATACGAGATCAATAAAAGCGGCGGGGTCGGCTTGTTACATAACGAGTTAAAAAAACGAGTGTCTTTTAATGCATGTTAAAATGTCCGAGAATGAATTGATTCTTTACGGATATTTTGAATAGTTATATATGGTACCAAGAAGTCAATACGGGATTTGGCAAAATGTTGATTAACGGTACAAATAGAACCTGTCCGCTAGGAACCACATGTACGAAGACATTTCAAAGCTGAATCAGCGGAGGGGTTCAAACCCGTCTACCGCGAGATTTAAAATTGAATCTATTGTGTATTTGAGTAGCGTCGCTTTGTCCTTTTGCAAACTAAGCGACACCCTCGAGGGCATCAACAGGGGATTCACCAAACGGGAAAGCACGAAAAAAGAACCTAAATAAAAATATATATTAATATGAATGTCAAATTAAAGAAAATAAGATACTTGTTTTGTTGATATAATTTATTTAGGGATTGTTTGGCAGTTGCTGAATGGTTTTGTGCAAAATGATTAGGGGGTGAGCACGAGTCGGATTGGGTAGGATCGGACCATAAACCGACGAAACTGATCTGGTATCTGATTATAATATCATGTCCCGTAATATGCAGTTCGGGTTCGAGGGAAGTTCGGGTTAGGGCAGGTTCGGGTTTTAGATCCCTGACCCATCACCAATCTTTAGAATTGTTGCATGGTAATGGTAATAGTAATAGTCTTCTTAAAAAATGGAAGACAAAGATTGACATACACCATGACAATTCAAAGGTATCTAGTACTAGTAGTAAAAGTCGAACAATTCGGGTTTTGAACGGGTTCGGGTTTTGGATCATGAGATCCTACCCGATCCTACTAACCCGATATAATTTTCGGATTTTGAACCTCGGGTTGGTTCGGTTCATAGATATCGGTTCGGATCGGGATTTTTCAGTCGGGTTTTTCGGGTAATTCGGGTTGGGTCGGGTCGGGTTTTGCAAAGCGTATGCAACAATATACCTGGAAGCGCTTACAGTGGTAAGAGTCGTTGCCCTCACTTACCCAGAAAGACTCATGGTGCTTGTCTCGCTTTTACCGGGTAAAATTCTTAGTTCTTACTATATCCATCCGGTAAGGTAATGTGACTTTTGGTAAACACTTACCCGAATAAACATTTGGTAAACGACCTCTTAAACACACGTCATGTCATGAACCACTGTACAATTTTTGTAGGATTCAGATTTTTGAATATCTTAACAATCCTTTAAAAATAGATATAAACACAACCTTCCTTAGCATTATTACAACATAGACGAAGGCATTTTGGCTTTACTGGACTTGTACTGTACAACATCTTGTGCATCAAATAGTTGTACATCACAAAAATTGAAAAAAAAAATCTAAATAATTGATACCACTTATTGGACTGCAGATGAGGTTCCCAAACCACCACTAGCAGCAGCAGTAGCTGCTCTCAATCTTCCAATCAGTTCCTCCTGCCAACCATAACCCCATTATACAAGTAAAAAGTCAATATTCTAAATCAGACCTCTTATTCAGTAAGAGGCGAATTGAAAGCTAAGCAGTGGTAATTCTAAAGATTCCTTCGCGGATAGAGATGTCTCCTATGTTACCGATAATATGTGGAAGTATCGACGTAATTTCATAGAGTCGTTCGGTCTGAATGCTACATGAAGAACATAAGCCAGATGATGGAACGGGAAGACTTAGGATGTAGAATATCATAACATGAGTGATTCGGAAGATTTTGATTCCTATGTATCCACCCACGTGGTACGTGGTATGACAGTGAGGCCAAGACTTAAGTTTCATGAGTTATGGTGAGGCCACGACGTTTTTCAAAGGCATGCGTTATGGCGACATACACAGATATATAGGAACTGGTTCATTTATGAGCCTTGAATATTTGAGGAACCCAAGAACCATCTATTTTGTGAATGTTTATGATGAATGTTATTCATCATAAATATTTGTTACACCATTTATCATGAATATTTAAAAGCACATTAAGTCACTTATCAGAGATTTATGATGAATAACATTCAACCATAAAACACTGAGTAAGTCCTTCGAAATCAACCAAAAAACCGAAAAATTCTCTCGAAATCAACCCATAAAAGTCACTTATCAGCTAAAAGAACTTACAAAATCCCTCGAAATCAACCAAAAAACTTAAAAAAATCTCTCGAAACAATGGGATTCAGTTATAAACACATTAAGCGGCTATGCAAAGTCACGAATAATGATGTACTTAACTGCTTTCAAAAGACGAGGTTTCATCGAGAACAATTGTAGAAGGTAACTTGTTTTATCGTTTTAATGAAATCATATTTTTACTTAAAAAATTATCTTAAGCTTTTCGTTTGTGTCTCAGCTCACCTACAACCCGGGTCTGCCACTGAACGAGTCAAGCTTTTAACAACTACTCAAGCTCAAGTCAATCTCAAATACATACTGAAACTCGTTCAACTTAATGAGTCGAGCTCCATAATAACAATATGCGACTCATGTTCAAAAGTTTGATTAAATTTTTCGAATTGAGTCGAGTCGAGCCACTCAAACATACACTTTTTTCGAGCCAAACAGGTTATATGTTTATAAATCATATAATCGAAGTTCAAAAATTATTGAGGCTGAGTCAATAAGAGAACTAATTCATCTTGAGTTCGAACCCTAGCTCAAACACTAAAAAGTAATCGAGCTTGAGCCTACTGTGAAAAAGTTAGTCGAGCTCGAGCCTACTGTGAAAAAGTTAATCAAAATCGAGCCTGGTAATATTTTTTCAAGTCGAGTTCGAATAACCTGCAACTCGACTCGACTCGTTAATACCCCGAGTTTTGACCATAACTCTACTAAGTTGAACCATCTGTTTACAATCAAAAAGATTATGTAACTTTCCAAATTAGATTTGTTTAACCTCCTAACCAAATAAGAGATTCAGACCTTAGCATAAAACCCACCTAAAATGATCCTACTTTTGGGGCCAATTTGTTTTGTTCCAAAATTTGATCTAAGGAACTTCTGACTTTGTAGTTATGAACTTCTAATTTGTAAATATATGACCTTTTTGGATGTTCTTGAATGTGGATACTAGTTTCAAAATTCACATGTGAATGCAGTCTGCAGATATTGCAAGATCTGCTCTTTACACCCCTAGTGATAATGGAATTGATCTACAAGTTTATATAAACGCTACTAACGAGATACTATTAGCATGTTCACGGAGATTATGAAATTCCATAAATAATTCGAGAATACAAAGAATTATGTAATGCAAGTTGCGTACCTTCTTCCCCTTAACGGAAAGTCCTCTCTCCTTTAAAAGTGCACGAAGTCTCTCTACGGTCAACCTTTGGAGATTTTCAGGTATTTGTGATTTTGATCCCTCTACATGGCGCAAAAAGGTCACTAGGTAGTCGAGAAGTGGAAGCAAAACTATCACGAATTAACCACATCACCCAACACATCATCAAAAACAAGTGTGACATCATATAAGCCCGATAAATTGATCAATTTAGCGGATCTAAAGTCATATACTCAACTAGAGACATTCAAATGAGAACCAGAAATATTTTGAGACCCTGTGAACCAACTATTTCATGAATTATTCATGAGTTCTATTCATCATGAATATCAAGTATTTCCATTATTAATGATATTCATCATGAATAGTTAGTTCCCATGTTTTCAAAACATTTATGGTTCTCATTTGAACCTACTCTTACTCAACTAAAGATCTAACCTTTCCGGGAACCATTTTGGGTGGCTGATGCTGCTCTCTTGGCAGAAGCCCTACCATCTGCAGCTCTTTCGGGGGCCCTGGAGATAGAACGATAAATTAGTGCAATGCGATAAACAGCCAATACACAAATGTTTCTGAATCTCTTTTTCTCATCACACCAATAACCAAAAACAGAACACCACAAAGTCAAGCGTAAAGCCTAAAAACCAAAAACCAAACCAAAAACCAAACCAAATCAAACGAGCCCAATACATCCCACCCAGAGGTGAGGTCTAGGGAGGATAAGATGTATGCAGACTTGACCTCTACCCCCAAAGAGTAAAGCGGTTGTTTCCATGAAAGCCCCCCCTTCCCCAGGGCTTTTGAAAAGTGTGTGAAAAAAGAAAAGCAGGTAAACTTAAATTTTGAAAAGCCGGGTTTAAGTAAGCAATAGCAATACAAATAGAGGGTACCACATAAAAAACACATATAAGGTATAGATATAAAAAATACCGCTTTCTTGAGCCCTCATTTGCGACAACACCCTTTGAAGTTGGTCCACCACCCTTTTGCTGTTGCTTAAGCAGAAGGGATCTAATCAGTATGTTCACTTGATCAGTCTTTATAACCTGATTTTCTGGGTAAAAAAAACAAACCTGTTAATTCTTACAGGGGCATACGTGAGCATTTTAGAACACCGGATCTAGAATACAGATCACGTGTCCCCAAACTGCATGTTCCATTACCGTCCCACCAATTAACACTTGACACATCATTAGTTTATTTCAAGCCAGAGGTCTTCACTCTTCATGGAAACAACCGCTCAGAGTAGAGGTCAAGTCTGCATACATCTCACCTCCCACAGACCCCACCTCCAGGTGGGAATATTGGGCTCATTCGGTTTCATTTACACTTAAGTCATCTTTTTATTCTCTGACTATTCAATAAAGTGATGATGTGTGAGGGTTGATTGGTGGACAGGGAGGGGATATGGAGTTTGGGAACAGCTGACCTGTATCCAGGATAAGCTATGGTGCTAACTGTTTCACCATTTTCCATATTGTCTATAAGTCAACATATAGTAAAGACACGTTGTCGAAGATGACCTGGGGGTGATGTATCATGATCTGTTACATAGACCTGCATTCCACCCTGCATAAATTTTTATAGAATGCGAAATAGATGATGAAAAACTAGAAAAGAAAAGACATCTCATAAAAGGAAAATAAGAGAAAGAAAAGATAACAAAGCTCATGCATATCTCCAAGACCCACACAAATGCTTTTTAGTTGCATAACATGATGGATCTGTATCTCATAATCAATATGGTTTAAACTTTTCACACTGCAGATCTTTAGAGAAAGTAACTCATGTTCTTAAGAGTAACATCCCTGGCCAACAGTACCAGATATTTTCCGTTCTAATCATGGTTTTTAAACACAACTGATAAGGAGATATCCAGTCCGTTATAAGGCAACCTTCGTTCCCCTCCCCAACCAATGTGGGATCTCATAATCCACCTCCCTCATGAGCCCAGCGTCCTCGCTGGCACAGTCTGGAAGCTGGCTCTGGCTCTTATACTTATATACTATTTGTAACATCCCTGACCAACCTTACCAAATTTTGTCCGCTTCATCTACACCTAGAGAGAAGCCATGAGTCCAAGTTTAGATAAAGCGGACAATATCTGGTATAACATACCATTTGTAAGACACATTTTAACCGTGAGTCCAGGTGTGGACAAATCCGACAATATATGATACGGTTGGCCCGGAATATTACATTTAAGAGCTCAATAATCCATCAGTTCTATCTCTGAAAACACAACTTACATTCTGATGTACCAATTTGGAAGCTGTTTATAATTGATCACAACTTAAAGATGATAAAATTTTAACTGCACAAACCAAGGAAATTCAAGTCTTCTCAAACAATTACGTAACAATGTACCAACCATAACAAGGGATGACGAAAAACTCAACGGATTTTTATGGAACAGAGATCAACAGAATCAAATCATGCTGTTCGAACCCTAATTTGAATATATGGAGCAACATATTACGGAAATCAAGTTACCCTAACGTCATTGTTCAAATTCAAACCCCAATGCATTCCTTTTTCCTTTTCATCGAAAGCATAAAAAAACAAAAAACAACAGTGCAATCGACATAGCTAATAGTATAATCCGATTAAAAAGAACAGGGAAAACAATCAAAAAATGTAGGGTTTATAAAGAATTACCAAATTGGAAGAAATCACAGAGGATGAGAAAAGGCCTTTGGATGGAAGATCGATGAGGAACTTGGAAGCCCCATCAGGGTTCTTGGAGGGTGTTGCAGAGCCATCCATGGCGCCGACGGAAGGCTCTTGCGAAGGCGATTTTTGCACCGTCGGAGGGTGGAAAGGATGAGCGATGAAATTTGACTCGCGGCGGGGAAATACTACCCGGGAACGGGGAATAACCAATTTTTATCAAATGAAAAAAAAAAGAGTAAATTACAGATTTAGTCCCTGTAATTTCATAAAAATTACAAAGTGGTCCCTAACCCTAAAAAGTATGATTAGGATCTTCGTGGTTTCGATTTTGTCATGGATTGGATTCATTTCTATAAAATTCATCGGTATCTATTAAATCCACAAACTGATATTTTTCATTACGTATTTTCAAACAGGACGTGACGTGAAAACACCTCCATGATATATCTTCAGTGTGGATACAAATCTGTTAAAAAGATCTTACACGATGGATTTTTAAAGCGGGTTTTTAAGACAAAATTATAACAGTTGAAGTTCTTATATATCTTTAAGTGAAAACAAAAACCTAGTTTCCGTTCACAAAAAACTATAACCAACGTACATCGTCACTTACCATAAATCTCAAGAACATTGATTTCATCAAAATTGCTACCTAGTTGTCGTATTATATAAACCATCTTTTAAAAAAAAATTGTAAGCATTTGAAATAAATGATTAAATCGCTTGAGGATGATGAAGAGAACGGTATGAATATTGATTGTTTAAGAACGTAATATAGAAAAGAGCTTCCTGAATCTTACGTGTCATAGATATTAAGTGAGAAGAAAAGGAGTTAAACGTCGGGAATGAAATGACATAAATGCCCCTCATATGAAGGGCAAGTGGTAGGGACCCTCATAATCTATACTATATTATAAAGCATTTGACAAAAACTCTTAAAAACCATTTTTATGCACGAAGTACTGTTTATTAATGCATATTACTTAAAATTCAAGATTACAAGTAAGTTGTGCATAAGTACAACTTATTAAAGCTCTATATTTTGAATTCGTATAACTAACTGCAGATAAACATAATCAAATACAGGATAAACATTTCATTTTAAATATAAAAAATCTTAAATATAATTAGGATAATCATTGAGTTATAACAGAATACTTAATGATTATCTTTATAAAATATTATATTATTAAACCTAAATTAAATTACTTCATTACGTTAAATTAAAATATAATAAAAATTTTGAATTAAAGAAATTACAAAAAATTAAAACTTTTAAATAGTTAATTTGATACTAATATTGATATATTTTTTTCAAATTTTTATAATATTTTCAAATTTATATCTTATTCAAAAATAAAAACATTATCGTTTTCTCAAAACCACATAGAACTATATTATATCGACATAGATAAAGAACAAAATAAAACATTGAAATCAAGATGTGTCTCGATACATTGCACGAGTACCCTTCTAGTTTTTATTAACTCTTATGTGTCGGAATGATATGATTGTTGATGGCTAATTTGATAGATCATAACAACATAGAAAAAACCAAACTATCAGTTTCAACAGATTTAATTCATTTTATAGTAACAAATTTGATTGGTTTACAGTAATGTTTTAGCTGTCTATCATTTGTCAATCTTGATTCCATGAACAATAAACTTGATTACACTTGCCTAATAATAGCACAAGTAACTAGCCCATAGTTTAAGTTGCCAAAGTGGTAGGTTCACACCCATCATGTACACATGCCAACACATCCTTATAGTCTCTCGAGATCGTAAAGTTATCGTAAACCACTCCATCCCTGCTCTTCTTGTACTCGAAAAGAAGTGAAGAGTGGTTAAACGCCGTAAGTTTGACAAACCCCCAATCATGATCTTTATGCAAACTCCAAACGGTATTAATCTCTGTAAAATCCGACAAATGACTCCCTCCTCCACCAACAACAACATGGATTGTCCCATTTACGGTGCCAGAATAACTATATCTTTCTTGCTTCACACATTTGTTCTACAACACGAAAAAAAATCAAGAATACATGTCATAAAGATGGCAAAAGTAATATAAGCAAATAAGCATATGGGTCAAACAAATTTAGGGGTCGTTTACTAAGCTCTTACCTGGTAAACGCTAACCAGGTCATATACTTTATCAGATGAACATGGCAAAAACCGAGAATCTTACCTAGTAAGTGAGAGTGACGACTTTTACCCGTTAAGCACTTACCGACTAAATTGTTGCATACGTTCCCATTCTGATAGACTCCAATTTTCCCCAAGTAAAGTAACTTGGAGTTTTGACTCTTACCGCTGGGTAAGCATTTGGGCAAACGGACCCTTGGTCCCTATTTAGTAAAACTATAATTTTTTGTCAATTAGTGTAAAAAAAGTTAAATTCTTCCTATTTTTTACCCATTTTACATGATAAACAGGTTTTCAGCTTATGTGGCATTAGCTGATTTGGATGTGATATGTTGTCACATAATCAAAACTATACAATAGTTACACGATTGACAAGTTAACGATCAAAACGTGTATGAAATAGGAAAAATTCAACGTTTGTTACACTAAATGAGGAAAAAAAATATCGTTACACTAAATAAAAACTGAAGTAAATTTCGTTACCTTTTGACCATTTGATAACAAGGCTTCTATATACAAGTTGCATATAAAAGCAACATTTGAACTCAAAAAGGGTCAAGTTATGTGTAGATATTTTGGATCCTAACTCATATAGTTATGATACTCACTTAAAACCTACTATCAGTTTGGGATGGGAAAGGGAGCTCCATCAAAGCGATCGAAGGTCTCATTAACCATGTAGATAGATATTTTGTAAGTTTCTTTCAAATATTCCATCTATTTTAGTATCCATATTGGGTTTTATACTGTATTTTATTCCATCCTATAGTGAAAACACATTTGCCACTACCTTATAGGTGGTCTTGTTGTCTGAACCAAACTAAGAAGTTGTTTGGTTGGTTCTTCATTAAGTCTAGTATGAATAAAACTGTCTGTGTGAATTAATTGGTCTGAATAGATTGGGAAGGTCTTTGTTTGGGAGGGTTTTTCATAAATGGAAGGAGCATGCTTAGGCTTTAGGATGTATATTGTATGCAAACCTTTCCTCGTCTAAATTGGGAAGGTCTTTGTTTAGGATAGATGAAAACAAATTTGCCACCTTGGGCGTGGTCTCGTGTAAAGCCAAACCCAGTAAATCCCTAGGTAGAGAGCGTGTGTGGGGTGGG